ACACACAGATAAATCCCACCAAAAACACTGACCCAGCATTCATTTAAGGAGGCCCCAAATTCATAGTACTGCTCCCAAATACCTATAAATTTTTCAAACTGCCCACTCTGGTCAGCTGAACCTAGAACTGGGGCTTGGTAAGGTCAACAGTGTGACACAGGGCAGCACAGCTCTCAGCACGAGCTCCCCAGCAAGCAGCAGCCCACAGTGCATGCCGCCACCAGGCAGCAGAGCAGGGGAGCAAGGCACAGCAAGAGCAGACCCACGGGTGGGGTCATGTCTGGACATGCTGCTCAGGGCGCCAACTGTTATGGTCCCTGCAGAGGGGTGGTTCCCTTGTCGAGACTGATGCCAGGGTGGCACACACAGACATACACACACAGGGTAGGAAAAGGCTTAGGACTCATATAATAATGTCTGAGGGGAGGGCAGGGCCAGCCTCTCAAGCAGCTCTGACAGGGCTCAGAAAGCAAGGAATGGAGCCTGGCCTGGGGCTTCAGTGGGCCTGGGGGTGGGCCCGGGGCAAGAGCTCTGCACACAGGCAGGGGCTGGGGTGGTGGAATCTCCTGCCTGCTCTAGAGTAGAGAGCACCCAGGCTTCCTCCTCAGCTTGTCCAGGTGGGGGCACAAGGGGAAGTGGGTGGGTGAGGCTTAACCTGTGAGCAGTCACCCAAAAATGTGGAGTCTGACTGTTCATTATAACGACAAAGCAGGTAAGAAAAATATGCATTGTTGATTTATTTAGATAAAGAAACACTAATAGGAGGCTCAAAAATGATCAAAGCTTGTATCTGGGTTTTACTTTAGCAAAAGTACAGGAGGGGACCAGCATATGTTGCCAGTGAATCTTCTTAAGCTAGACTTTGCTGTCTTACAGAATTATTTTTAAAAAACAGAGAAGTTTATATTCTTTAATTTTAATTCTCGTAATAGGAAACTGATCTAGGATTTAATGATTTTGTAGATCTAGATCATCTAGATTTTGTAACTGTTACAAAAGTGTAAATCATAGAAAATAAATTTTTCAAGTCTTTTTCTAACTAAAAGGACCTGCAGCATCCTAGTTTGTCCTTCCCGTACATCTCTCACTGGGGGCATTTTCAGTAATAAGCGGCATATTACAATGCAATCAAAGTTTGAGTTTAAATCTTTAACTGTATTGGGTTTTCAAAGATATACAGAGGCTTTCAGAAGTTTTCCTCACACCTATTAAAATAGAATTTAATTGCTTTACTATTTTAAATTAATCTGTTCTCTAGAGACATGTGCCGGAGTCCAGCTCCAGCAGAGTCCAGGTTCCTGAGGGATGAACGGCGTCGGCGAAGGGAAGGGAATGAGACTGCACGCCAAGTTGGTGGAAGCAAGTCTGAAGTCTTTATTGTCAAGCGTGTGTTTATATATATTTTGAGGATTACATAAGCGTTTGGGGTACATCTATTTTCTCCCCTGAAGTAGCTTGATTTTTCCCCATGATATCATTTTACTTCTTTAATTTATCTGCGTCATCAGCAGTTTCTAAATGTTACTTCCCTTATTCAGTCCTGGGAAAGAGCTGTTCTTTTCATTTTCTGGGTAAGTGCAGTTAATATTTATAGATCTCTACAGTATTCTTTGCAGGGGGCGAGACTCGGGTTATGCTGGAGGATGGAACAAGCCTTGGGGCAAAGGTAAGCCACGGTACGTTTAGACCAGGCACATACAGGTCCCCACATCCTCTTATATAACTCCCACACTGAGACATTTGACCCTTTAACCCTCTTTTCATCTATTTCTTTCCAGCGCCCCGACGTGTCATAATAGTCCCATCTGTATTTCCTATTTACTTCGAACAGCCATTGTTCCATAGAGTGGATGTAGGTGGCGTAGGTGTGGGAGGTAACCTCTGCATAGCCCTGTTCCCTGGGAGGGGGCTACCATCAGCGTCCTTCTACCTTAATGGCCCGGGGTATTTCTCTGCCTGTAATGACTATAGGGGAAGGCACGGGGATAGGCCCATATTTGTTTGGGAAGGGTCTTCCCCGATATCCCAGCTGAATGACCCTCTTTCTGTGGCAGGGCCCTCGGGATGTTGAAGGAGTGTTAGTCAGAAGAGGGTCTTTCTTGTATATTACAGTGGGATTTTCCTTTCCCAGCAGATTCCCCTGGGTAAGCACAAGCGTCATGAAGAGAACCAATACAGCAACTAGTAACAGCAGTTTGAGCAAGGAGGACCCTCGGCTGTTCCTGCAGGGGTTGCTTTGCAACTCCCGTGCTTCGTGTGCCCCGACTGTGTCACTGGGCTGCAGTGGTTGCAGGACGGTGTCTGGCAGACATGCACAAAAGAAAACTGATCAAAAAATTTCTTAAATTTCTTACTTTCCTCACATTCCATCGTTTAATCAACTTACAGTCTCAGGGCCCGAGTGCCAAGGGAAACGAGAGCCAAAAGGTTGCCCTAGTCCATCGATAAAGGAATCCAAAGGAAAGAAACACCAACACTGGAATCAGCTCAGATGAGCAGCCTGCTTCCCACAGGACAGAAGGAAAGCCATGGTCAGAAGTTCTGTGTTCCTGACTCTCCTGGTGGAGACAGAACCCTGGAGGGGGTCAGTCCCTGGAGAAGGAGGGGAGGGCACCTGAGCAGCCACAGGAAGGAGCTCTGGGAGCCCCACACATCCTCCTCTCCCAGGGAACAATTGTTGCACATGCTCCCTCTCTCAGGCTCCATTCTCACAGTGAGGAAACTCAGCTGGATCCAGTTTAAGGTTCTGACCCAAATGGACCCCAGATTAATGGGCCCTCATCCAGGACACAGAGCTCCTGACTCTCACAGACTTTCTCAACGTAAACAAATTACTCTCTGAGTGCACCTACACTGTGGATGCAAAACTCCAAATACGTCTAGAAACAGGCCCAAGGAACCACAGCTACCACCTCAGAAAGGGCATCACTCCCCACCCCATGAGCACGTGCACCCCCAGCTTTCCAGGGCTCTGTAGCTCCTCTGAGGACAAAGGCTCCTTCCATGGGGGTGTGAGCAGTAGGACACCTGCAGGGGGAGGCTTCCCAGGAAGAACAACTGGGCCTGCAAGGCCTTCCCTCTGCAGGTTCAAGGGGGCCTTAGCTTAGACTTTCCGCCCTCAGTCCTCTGCCCCGACTGGAGGTTTTTGGACCACCACTGATATTTTAAACGACAAAAACCCAGTGTTTAAATAATCCAGCTAAAACACTCCAACCAGTGTTTATGTGGAAATGAGGGAAGAAAACTGTATGGCATTTTGCTGACTCAACAAGAAACCCCACAAGAATGTGTTGCATTCTGGAGGAAAAAAAGATATTAATATAGTATTATTTCCACGACACGTAATTTTCTCACAAACTATTAATCCTACTTGAACACTTCAGGTCTGCAAGTCTAAGCCCTGGAAATCTATTTGTACTTACTCAAAATGAAAGAACAGACCTCAGAATATTACTACCCACGACGGGAGAGGAAAAAAGGAAAGAAGAATTTAGTACGTGCAATGTAAAACTGGAATATTTCATTTTTTCTGAAATTCACCCCTTTCTTGTCTCTTTCAAAATATTTTATGTTGTCTTTCAATTTGTACTGAATAAATAAATTTTTATTCATTGAAAAACTGAGAGTGAAATAAAGTGAATGAATATTTTAAAGGTGACTAATTCAGGTAGGGACAGTGCTGACAGGACAGATCATCCTGAAAAGTTTCTCAAGTGAAACCTCTACCCAGAGGACTTCCCCTAGGATGTCTGTGCCCAGAAAGACCCTGGGAGTAGAGGCAGGAGGAGTTCACGCAACATAGTTCCAGGTGGTTATGATGTGGATCAAGACTACCCCAGGGAGAGAAGCCCAAGGCATTCTGGCCTACATACTGATCCATATCATCCTCCAGGAAGTATAGGAGGTCTTGACCTGATTCGTATCCAAAGTTATACGACCACTCGATAACCAGACCCCACCTCCATTTTAATGACTTTACTACATGATCTTTCCTTTGTTTTGCAAAGAAATAACTCACATATCTATGCCTTATAAATTTAGCCCTACCCTCAACCCATGGCAGCTCTTACTGTTCATGGGTCCTGTCCCCATGCTAGTTTCTGAATAAAGGAGCACTACTACCAGACCTTGAGAATCCAAGAAATCTCTTTCGACTCCTCGGCTCACTGAGCCCCATCATTTCTTCTGGTGCCCTGTACAGGGATCTTGCTTCACTGGCTTGTGAGCTGAAGTTCTGGTAAGTGCACTTTTCTTCCTTGTGCCTTCCTCTCTTTCAAGGATGGATCTAATTCACTTATTCATCGGGAGCCTTCTCGGACAGCTGTATGAATCCAAGTTTGCTCCTGTGGCTACTCTATGGGGCAAACTATGGCATTCAGCCCGAAGAGAATCAGTACCTCAAGCCTAACGGTGATGAAGAATGAATTAACCCTATTCCTTCCTAATCCTATCTCTAATATATAAGTTTTACATGGGCACGAGTCAACCACTTAAGTCATTAGCACAGTCGCCAACCTCCAAGACTCCTGGCAGGTTTCTTTTCCTAGCTGGATTGGTATACCTCCCGATGGCTCCTGACCACACTCTGAACCAAGGGAAAGTCCCAGCTGGGACTCCAGTTCAAGCAAAGTACCAAACTCTAACCTTTGGTTGAGTATGGGAACCCCTTCTTGGGAGAATGGCTCCAGGATGCAATTGGGTAGACTGTCCCCCAGACCAGCATAAAATTCTCCTCTGTTTTTCTCTATTATTTTGTCTCTGGGACCACTCACCAGGCACCTAGTACTGCCACGCATAATAGGAATGATATCCAAGGGATGCAATGCCGGGAGACGCCCCCATCACCCCTTGCTATAGGAACCCCACAGGCCAAAGGGCAGGACGCTGCCCTAGGGTCGGGGGATTTTCAAGGTAATGGCCTCTTTTCTTTTATCTCTCTTCTTTTGTTTTTTTGCTTCTTAGGACCATGGGAGCTTCTAATTCCATTCGTAAGGACTTACCTTTGGGTTGCCTTTTAAATAACTGGGCAAAAGATCTACAGATCTACAAGACCTAAAGAAAAAGAGGCATCTTTTACTGTAATACTATTTGACCTCAATATACTCTGAATGAGGAAAAATGGCCCATGAATAGCACCGTAAATTTTAATATTATTTTTCAACTAGACTTACTTTGCCACGACCTGGGAAAATGGTCCGAAATCCCTTATATTCAAGCATTCATGGCCCTATATCAAGATCCTGAACTCAGAGCGGGTTGTTGCATGTGTCTAGCTTCCCCCACTAAAGTACAAAAACCTACCCCTGATATATTAGATGACGACTGCCTTGTTAGACCTCTTCCTAAGGCCCCTGCAGCTCGTGCTGAATTAATCTCTCCGGAGGACTCAAAGACCAGAATACCCGTCCCCACCAGGAGGAACCTAAAATTGAGTCCTCAATCCGCACAAGTCCCGCAGATCATACGAGCAGTGGGCCCTCTTATAATCCCGGATATTTCCCCCTCGAGAGGTAGCAAATGGGGAAATGGGGATCATTGGAGTCCATGTGCCATTTTCAACGTCCAATATGGCTCAACTAAAAACACAATTGGGTAGCTATTCAGAAAATCCTTACAATTTATTGATGGCTTTCAACAACCGCACCATGTGGGGAGACGCGGAGCTGCGAGCGCAGAGGTGCCCAGAGACGCTCCGGCCCAAGCCGCCGCGCGCAGGGACCACAGGACGCCCGGGGCCCGGCTGCCGACCCCGCCCCCACGCTGCGGCCGGAGGAGCCTGAGGGCCGAGCGGCGCCACCGCGGACTCGGGGCCGCAGACCCCGGAGGGGACCGCGGGAGGCCGGGCCCGCCCCGCCGCTTCCCACCAGCCCCTCCTCCTGCGTCCTCACCCCGAGGTCGCACACTCACCATTTCTAGGGCTCCCGAACCCCTGAGTCCTTCCTATGACCCCCACGGTCAGTGCAGGTCACAGCGACAGAGGCTGAAGCAGAGTCACCAGGGACCGTTAACAGCAGGCAGCAATGGACCCCGAGCACGAATGAAGAAGGAAAGTCTCGATGGGTCAGACACTCCTCCCCCTCATCTTGACTCCAGACCCAAAACCTCACCATTTCTAGGTTTCCTGGGTCCCCCAGTGTCTTTCCTTTGACTCTCGAGGTCGCTACACGTCATAACTGGACAGAACAGGCGGCAGAGTCACGGGGAACCTTTAACGGCGGGGAGACACGGTCCCCAGCGCCGCTGGAGCAAGTGCAACTTCCGGCGGATTGGGGCCCTTCGCCCCACCCACCAGCCCCGCTTCCGCCTCTGATTGGACAGTTGCAAAGACTTCCCCCCCCCCCTTGTGTCTGAGTGACAGCCGCCTGAGTTTAGGTGTCTGAGCAGAATGCCGGTCAGAACTCGTCATCTGCACGAACATTTGCGTTGAAAGGGAGCGCTGGGAGGGTACTCCTGGATTTGTGGTCCTGTTTTATAAACACACAACTGAAAGTCACCTCACCATATGCAATACTTAGATTTGTATTTTGATGTTTGTTGACAACTGGAGTCTGACAAATTTTTGCCAGATATGTAGACAGGCACAGATACTGTGACTAGGGAACTGGGCAAAGAAAGAGGTATCAAATATCTGATAAAAACTAACATTATCTGTTGAGCGTCTACAGAGGGAAAGTTTCTGGAAGAGCCTAACCACAGAAAATTCCCACAAGCAAGCTAGCTGGTGCCACTTGCAGCCGCCTCAAACCGTTCTTAAGTGAACTAAACTGAATGTGCCTATTAAAATCTTATTAGCATTTTAAATTCTCCTCCTCTGGGAGGGACCAAGCAGCCATTTCTAGATCATGAGATGTATGTAGTAGCATGTGTAGACGCTACCCATGAGCCTTAAAGGAACATGACTGTTAGGCAATAAACCATTATCTCCCACCTTTTCCTTAACTGAATATTCATGAACTGTACTATGATCTAACAATGAAAGGATCCCCAAACCCTTGTTTGGGGAGGCGCTGCTTTGGGCGAGATGCCTGGTGTTCTACATTGCTTGTGTAAGTGAACCTTTATTCACCTACTTTGGCCTTGGTTGTGCTTTTTGGTTCCACAATCACCAAGAAGTAACCCATTGAGTTAGGTTACAACATCAGGGATGCATCTTTCCGACAAGTCAGTCAGATTCAGAAGGAAAGTATTGGGAGTAAAAACCATCATTTCAGAAGGAGTGACTTCTGAGTATTCAGAATGTATTGAGAAAACGTTTCTGACGTAAAAAAAATTGTATCCCATGGAAAACATAAGAAGGGATACTTTTTCACTGGTGGTGAAATCAGTCTCTGTGGCCATGACCCACAACTTACCTGTGGTTACACTATTTAATCGGTCTGGAATGAGACATCATAAAATTGGGTTTTATCTCAATAATCTTCTCACTGATGGGTGAGTCTAAGACACTAGACAGTAACATTCATTCCAACAGAGAACTTTGGAATCAGTCCATGACAGGCATCTTCTCCATATAATCTGCACAGATACCGATTCTGACAACTTTCTCCCAATTCCCTAAGGAAATGCTTGCCTTTGCTATCATTTGAGTCAAAATACTACACCCAAGCTCACCTGAACTTCAGCAATGACTCCACCATGCCCAGGGACAGAAGGATCCTTGGAGGCCATCAGACAGATGGAAACTGAGGGGCAGAACCAAAGAACCATAAGCGATCTCAATGAAATAGAAAAGAAGGGCCCACTTTGCAAGTAGTGCTCATCATACAAGGGGGAACACTGCTGGGCAGTAGCGCCATCGTTCAGTCACCCGTCCAATGTAGGAAGAAAAGTTCTGTGGATATTCAGCATCAAGCATTGAGAGATGCAGAAGATATTTCCATTTCATTATCTGTTTTTCATCTGCCCATTAAGAACTATCTGGAAAATAATAGTCTAGAAGCGGTTTTCTTGGAAGTCACTCTGATTTCCTAAGTCAGGAATGCCTCTGTTTTTTTCATTTTGTGTCCTAACTCCTCATGTTCACTGCAAATAAAGGACACACCATCCTAAGAATGTGCACTCACCTGGGCAGATGCATAAGTCCGGCTCCACTCTTACACACTCTCAGAAACATGCTTCTGAGAAAAGTACATTTCATCACTGCCCTTCCTCACCCTACTTTCATTTCCACCTGTGGGAATTGTACAGTTCCAGTAGTGGCCTCATCTGGTCAGAAACTGGGGGTGTGCTTCCTGCTCTGACGAATTGATGAATTGTTCTAATTCTTGCAGGTAACATTAGGGACAGTCTCACTCATTCTTGAGGTCAGATTATGGTGCTCTCAAAGGTCCTTTAGTCACTGTGGTCAGCACCATAGACGTGATAGCTTAAGGTTGAATTTAGTAAGAGCACGTGGTTCCTGTTAATCTCCATCATGGCAAACATGTGGGCCAGAATATACTTAGAGGGTTGGTGCATCCACCTGCACTGAGGGAAGCCCATGAGGACTCAAGAATACCCTACAAGTTGGTCTTCTAACCAAACAAATGCTCCACTTAAGAAGCACAGGGAGTTATTTGTAGGTATGGAGAGAGAGATTTTTTCCATGACTTTGAAAAATGGCCCTACTGGAATGAGTTACTCAAGATAAAAGAAGCTGCTCTGTTGGAGGAGGTTATTGTGAGAACATGACCACTGGTTGACCCTCCAGCTAGACAGGCAATTGGAGCCTCCTTACCCACTCCCCTGTCCTTGGAATAAACATTCTGCCCACTGTTCCCAAACTAAGAGCCATTTCAAGGATGCAGCCTAGAGAGAATAATGTGTTGCTGAGACCATCTGGACTGTACCCATTGCTGAACCCCGTTAAAGTCTCTATATAAAATTTTAAGTTTTTGGCAGGTGGGTGTGGAGATCTACTCATTTTGCTTCGCCTAAGACAAGCCTCATATGTAAGTTCCTTGCTTATTAAAACTGCCACCTCCCCATCTGGAGTGATCTGCCTCGTTGCTCAGTCTCTCCTTGCCCTCCGTGGACAGGAGCCAGTTTCAGATGCCACCCAAACTCTCGAGGTTGTGAACTAACATGCTCTTATTTCTGAATGAAAATGAGAGAGCAACTGATCCTTCTTATGCTGGGAAGAATGAAGTACCTCTAAATGGCACAGCATGAAGATGAATGTTTACACTTTTAAAACTATTTTTTCTCACCTTCTTTAATTTGCATGTTTATTTGTTAAAAAACTAAGCAGAGTTGGGGCCGGCCCCATGGCCAAGTGGGTTAAGTTTGAGCACTCAGCTTCGGTGGCCCAGGGTTTTGCCGGTTGGAATCCTGGGCGTGGACATGGCACCGCTCATCAAGCCATGCTGGGGTGGCGTTCCACATGCCACAACTAGAAGGACCCACAACTAAAAATATACAACTATGTACCAGGGGGCTTTGGGGAGAAAAAGAAAAAAAAATCTCAAAAAAAGAGAGAAAATAGTCTACTTAAAAAAAAAAAAACAACTAAGCAGAGTGGATTTAGAATATCATAATCTTAAAGAGGTTGGGATGTCAATTACAGCTGTTTTCCAAATGTGGAATCATTTGGGGGCATATGAACAAGGCGTCTGGCATCTAGTATGCAACTTCTTATACAACAGAATACATATTCTTCTCAGCCACACATGAACCTTTCTCCAGGGTAGGTCATACCCCCTCCGTAAAAAACACCTCATAAATTTAAAATGCTAGGAATTAAAAAATTTGAAATAAAATCAAGATCTCTGACCACAATGAGATGAAGTTAGAAATGACTATCTTGGGAAAATTTGGGCAAACTCACATTTTGCCCAAGACAAGACACTCTGAAATAACCAATGGGGGAAAGAAATCAATAAGGAAATTAGAAAACATTTTTAATGAATGAAAAGGAGGGCCCAATATTCCAAAGTTTACGGGCAAGATCAAAAACACTAAATAGATAAAAATTATACCCACAAATGCAATAAACTAACAAAGAAAAAGATCTCAATCAATAACTTAACCTCTTACCTAACACATTCAAAATGATGAGAAACCAAACCAACAGTAAGGAGAAAAGGAAATAATAAAAATCAGAGCAGAAATTAAGAAAATAGAGAATAGGAAACCCACAAAGAAAATCAATGAAACCAAATATGGGTTCTATGAAAGGATCAACAAGATTAACAATAGAGAGCTAATAGGCAATTTAGTTACATTGACTTGAAGAAAAAGAATCAACTCAAATCTCTGGAATCAGAATGAGAGAGGGGATTTTCTTACTACTGATATTATAGAAATAAAAAGGATTATAAAGAAATTCAATGAACAACTGCATGCAAACATGTTAGATAACAGATGAAATGGACAAATTTCTAGAACTACAAAAACTACCAAAAGTGACTCAAGAAGAAACAGACAATCAGATTAGAATTATAAATGAAAGTGGTTGAATTAGTAAACAAAGCTACCCATAGGGGCTGGCCTGGGGGCCGAGTGGTTAAGTTCATGAGCTTAGCCTCAGCAGCCAGGGGTTTCGCTGGTTTGGATCCTGGGTGTGGACATGGCACGGTTCATCAAGCCATGCTGAGGGGGCATCCCACGTGCCACAACTAGAAGGACCCACAACTAAAATATACAACTATGTACCGGGGGGTTGGGGAGAAAAAGGAAAAATAAAATCTTAAAAAAAAAGCTACCCATAGAGCAAAGCCTAGACCCAGAGGGATTCACAGCAGAATTCTCCAAAACATACAATTAAGGTTTGTTTTTTTTTAAAGATTGACACCTGAG